CGGATTTTTTAATGTTCAATAGCAACAAATTTCGTGTAACATTATTCTCGCTTTTTAGATACCTCCGAGAATCTTAACTACAATTGTGATACAATGTGATATAGGATGGAGTAAATATTATTCCGAACGTAACTCATATAAAATGAATTGTAAATGGTAAACATTATAATATTCCGAGTAAACATGAACTCTTTTTCAAAGTATATAATCTTGTTAACAATAATAATTTACGGATTATTTATTGTTATAGTAACAGGATTTGTACCTCTCGGTCGTTGCTTTCATGAAAGTGTTCTTATCGGAACTCAACTTTACTTTTTAGGTGGAATAAATTCTGATGAAATATTTTATTTAGATGTTTCTTTACCTTTCGATTCAAAAAAACTTTTATGGACTGATTTAACGACAAATTCAGCCATTCCTATTAATAGCGCGTTTGCAACTTCATGTGTTGGAGGTCAAAATAATAATTTTATTTTTTTATTTGAACATCATAAAAAAGACAATGATGAATTAAATAATTTAATTACATATACATTTGATATAAAAAGTCAAGAATGGGATATACCAACAATAATAAATCCTACTCAGATACCTCCAGTTATACAAGGAATTAATGCAGCTTGTAATCCTAATGGTACTATGTATATTTTCGGTGGATATAATCCAAAATTAAAGAAATCATATAATGATATGTACATATTAGATTCTTTAAACTTATCTTGGAAACAATATCTTGCATCTTTATCTATAATTAAACCGATTATAAGATCTGATTATACTGCGACACTTTTACCAAATTCAATTATTGTTTATATCGGGGGAACAAATCATATTAAATTAAAATCAGAAATTGATATGAATTATGTAAATATATATACGTAGTATATATAGTTATTATATAATCGTTTAATTTCATTCTTTTTAATAATAATGATAAAATTTTTATTTTAGATTTCATTATTTGACACCAATATTGGAACTTGGACTGTTATGGTAAATTATAGTTATTTTACTAAATTTATCTTGTATCTCACTCAGTTTTATATATATGTACCTAATATAAAAATTTTAAATATTTTAGACTGCAGAAAATAATGATGTAATAATACAGGCTCGTAGATTTCATACAGCTGTGTTAAGTGTGTGAAATAGATTAATATTACAACTTTAGTTTTTAATTCTCTTTGATTTTAAATATTTAATAATTATACTATATTATTACTTTCTATTATAGTATCAGATGGATTAATTGTTATTTATGGTGGTGCATCCAATAATAATTCCAAGGTTCCAAGTCCATCGTTAGCCGTGTTAGATACAAAACCTGAAACTTATAAATGGTATAGTAAACAAAATATTGGTAAAAATATTCCGCCACCGCTTGCTTATCACACAGCTACATTAGTCGGAGATTATATGATTATAACATTTGGTATATTAATTATATATAAGTATCGTTATCGGTATGTTATAAAAAAAAAAAAAAACATTTCTCTTATTTTTTTTTTTCTTTACATAATTCAGGAGCTAAATTTTCAGGAGAAAAATTCGATAATGAGAATAATCTTAATACCAAAGTTTATATACTTGATACAAAAAGCTTTTTATGGGTTTCATCAACTTCTCAAAATGGTTCAAGTACTACAAGTATTATACCTTCAAATTCGGCAACTTCAAGTTTAACAAACTCGGCATCATCAAGTATAACACCTTTAAACCCGACAAATTCAAATAATCCTACTTCTACAATCAACCCAAATAAAATTAAGATATTTGCAGGTCTTACTAGTACGGCTGGAGTCACTATACTTGTTGTCGTGTTTTACTTTCTTTATCTAAAATATAAATAGGTAAATCTTGTGTTTATAATTTTATAAAAAAAAAATCAATCTGTAAAACTTCTATTAATATTTACAATTTAAAAGCAAATGAATATATATATAGATTATTTTATTCTAAAAATTATATTATTTTTTTAAAAATAATAAAGCTCGTTAATAATTTATAAGAAAGGTTGATATGAATGATTCCGTGTTGACATAATCCCATGTTCATGTAATATCGCTC